CTATCTATCTATCTATCTATCTATCTATCTATCTATCTATCTATCTATCTATCTATTCATTTATACCAAAGATTGATAATCCATACATCAGGAAAGGAAGTAGGGTAGGTGCTACCTCCCTAAGTTAGTATGAATTTGTGGGTTATTTAATGGCCATCAAAATGTAGGTGCTTGAGGTTGGGTTGTGAACTGTAGTGGAATGAATGACATAATTCATCCAAGAAAATGCTGTTGTTGGCTAAGTTTAAAACATGGCTATTTTAACCTAAAGTGGTGGCATTGCCAATGGTGGGCGGGCCTAGGCATAAATGATAGAGATTTAGGAACTGAAATGTATAGCTCATCTAACAGCTGGGTGACAGAGGCATCTCAGCCAGGATTTGGAGGACCAGATAATGGAATCCCCCACTAATACAGGGCCATATTTAGCTAGAAAACCATGTGTTCAGGTTTTGTTGTTGCTGATGATTTTTACAAATTCTTATTACAGTTTTGGCTGATCTGGAATTCATTATATTGCCTAGGATGGCCTCAGACTTATGGAGATCCTTCTGTCTCAGCTTCCCAAATACTAGGATTATAGGTGCCACTCGAGAAATGTGTTGGGTACAGAGATGTGGGTAGAAGGCACTACTCTATATGTACCCCTCTGTAGTCTACATTCTTCATGTTCCATCTTTATTTCTTTGTTTTGGGTCACTGCTGCTGAGCTGCTGCATATATTCCTGTCTCTGAGGGGCCAGGTCCTGCCTAGCAGAGGGCTAATCAAGGGTGGGGTCTGACCGTTTCCTGCTGTGTCAATGTAGGATCCATAGCCACGATGCACTGTTGACCTGGCTCCACTCTGGGTAAACAGTCTCCACCCTCAGCCTTCTTCCTTGAAGTAGAGAAATGTACGCAGCGTATGCTCGGGGGATAATTGTCTACCCCTGGACCACTCCATCATTCATAGCTCGTATTAGGTATTGTCTCTGTAAGTAATCTCAGTAAACTCAAGGGTTCACCAGACAGATTCAGGGGAATGGTTTCTTCTGTTGTTATTGTTGCTCTGTCTGGGATAAAAAGACCTTTCTAAATATTTTCCTAAGAAAAGTCTCAAAATGCTAAGAAAGATATATTCATGGAGGAACAAAAGGAAAACAGTAGCATGTGATATCCCTTTAGGTGAGGGTAGTAGTCAGTAGCCACTAATGATAATTGATGTCAAAGTAAAGGAAAACTGACATATGTCTCCTGGTATCATCTATAGATCCATAGGAAGGTGCTTTCTGGCTCCAGCCAGATCTTTTTTGACATAAACTAGGTCAAATAAAGGATATGAAGTAGAATGTGGAAGAATTAGGATATTTAGGGAAGGCATATTGACATGTGACTGTCATCCCAGAATCCATCTGCAAGCTAGAGGCTTCCCTGGTTACAGCAAATTCAAGGACAGGACTGCATAGAAAACTCTGTCTCAAAGAACTCAAAGAAAGAGAGGGAGGAGGGGAGAGAAAGGGAGGAAGGGAGGAGGAGGAAGAAAAGGAAGAAAAGAGGGAAGGAGGAAGGGAAAGAAGGAAGGTCTGCTGGCGAAGGTAAGTGTAGGAGCAAGCTGTGAGGAGATGTGAAGATTTTAGAGGGATCACTTACACAGTAATAGTCAGCTCAAGCTGCTGTCACAGAAGTACCACAAAGTGGGTGGCTTAAACAAAAGAAACACTTGTTTGTGCAGTCAAGATCAAGGTGCCGGTCAGTTCAATAAGGGCTTGCTTCTTCTTTGCACATAGATGCCTGTGTTTTTGCTAAATCCTCACTTGGAGACAGCAGAGAGGGAAGAAGCAAGATCTTCTTGTGTGTCTTCCTTTCAAAAATTTAAAATGTTTATTACTTATTCATTGGTGTATGTGTGTGTGTGTGTGTGTGTGTGTGTGTGTGTGTATGTGAGTCTAGGCATGTGCATATCACAGTGAACAATTGTGCTGTTGTGCTGTTGGTCAGAGAACAATTGTGCTGTTCTCTCCTTTGCATAAGTTCTGGGAGTCAAGAACTTTACCTTCTGAGACATCTCACTGGCTTTCTTTCATGTCTCTTCTAATCACATAAGGGCTTCAGTCTCAAAAGCTAATTATGCCCAAAGTCCCCATCTGCAGGTGCCATCACTCTTAGAGTGAATGTGTAAATTGGGAGTGCGGACACATACAGTCATTCCGTAGTCTAGGTAATAGAATTAAAAAAAAAAAAAAAACATGCCGAGCCAATTAAGAAAGGCCAGTGCATTATAAAAATCCTGAAAAACTACTCTGTTTAGTTTCTTTCATCTTTTTTTTCTTTATTCCTGTGGAGGTATGTAGATGGTGCTAGGAACTGGGCCCAGGGTATGCGCCATACCAATGAATCAGGCCCCCGAGTGCTGCCGCTTCCTTCAAGGTGGCTGACGTGAATGCAGCATATGAATGGTAGGAATGTTGTTTGTGTTTCCAGTTCTTGTGTAATCACTTGGAGAAAAGGCGTCGTCTTCACTCCTAACACAGATCCTCCCTTGGAATTAACATTTGTGGCAGCATATGACAGCTACATCTGTCTGTCTGACAGTTCTTCTGTGATACTTCTCAGAAGCCCATGGTGTTGGGTTTCAAATGAGCTATTTCCCTTTTGTTTATATTCGCTCTACTTTTCCTTTCCTGTTTTATTTTTTTGTTTTTTGCTTCCCAGACTGATGAGCCCTGAAACTACACTCCTCCAGCCTAGGGAAGAGGAAGGGGTGAAGTACGAGCGAACCTTCATGGCATCTGAATTCCTGGACTGGTTGGTTCAGGAAGGTGAAGCCACAACAAGGAAAGAAGGGGAGCAACTTTGTCATCGGCTTATGGAGCATGGCATTATACAGCATGGTGAGTGTATCAGTCAGTGTTTGCTCCAGTGACGAGCAATCTCAGAACCTGTGGTTTGTAGCAACACATACTTAGACCCCATTGCTGGGTCCATTAGTAGCTGTACCTCTGGACAGTGTGACTTGCCTCTGTGTAGAGAATTAAGCTCAACTCTTTGTGGTTTTTGCCTTGGCCGTTGGTTTGAGATCAGTTTTGCAGATGTTTTGGCAGACACCAAAGAGGAAAGGCAAAGTCTTCTTTATTTTTAATTTTATGTCTGTGGCTATTTGACCTGCATATGTATCTGGTGTCCACAAAGGCCAGATGAGGGTGTCAGATCTCCCAGGACTGGAGTTACAGATGGGGCTGTGAATTGCCATATGGATACAGGGAGTTGAACCTGGGTCCTCTGAAAGAGCAGAATGTGCTCTTAGCTGCTGAGCTATCACTCCAGCCCAGAAAGGCAGATTCTTATAGAGCTATCAAAAGCTCTGCGTAGGTATGGTATCCTTTCACAGTGCCCTATACAACTGTCCCTCACAAGTCATATAGTCACTCTGAATGTGAAGTCAGGAGGATTGGAAGTTCAAGGTCATTCTTCACTATGTAGCAAGTTCAAAGCCAGCCTGAGCATTATGAAACCCTCTCTCAAAAACAAACATTAAAATAATTCATAAAAATAATAACAATTTTGTTTGTCAGATCTATGGCCTTAGGTAAGTATTTCTTGAGACAGAAGAATGAGAACCATAATACAAGCTGTCTTGGTGAAGAGATAATACCAGTGGGCGTTAGAGAAAAAATTTTTTCCTTATGGGATAAATTGTAATGATACAATATAACCTTTAGTTAAGAATTTTCATTAACAAATAACTTTAAAGCTTGATGGATAAAATACCAAAACTTTATGACCTAAGCCAACAACAGTAAATGTTATGAATGTGAAATGATGCCTCACACAGTTTCAGTGGATCAGGAGTTGGGGTAAGACTGGGTGGTTCTCATTGGCGTCTCACCTGAAGCTGTAGCCATACTGTAAGCTAGGGCTACAGGACTGAAGATTCATCCCCCCAGTGGCTCACTTGTCCCTGAACACGTTGACCGTCACTCTTGACAAAAGGCTTCTGCCCATGCCTATGTGGACCTCTTCATCAGGCTGCCCGAGAATTTACATGACATCACAGCTTGGCTGCCTCTGATGGGAGTGAGCTGAGAGAGTAAAAGGAGCCACAGCTGTGGGGGTCACACGGCATCATTTCCTCAGGGATCTGCTGGCTCCACATTTGGCCCTTTTGGTGTAGGAGAAGGCTAACGGAGTGGGAGAGGAGTCAGGCTGCACTAGACACACCTTGCAGACATGGCCTCGGGGATCCCAGCTCCCCCAAGGTCAGCCAGTGACTTTCTTTTGTCTGGGACGGGAGGATGACCTCCCTGGGCGAATGTACAGTAGACACAGAGCTGTTGTTGGATGGGCCTGCTCTTAGTAACAGCCACTCAGTTAATTTCCCTGCGAGGTGTGGGCCTGGGGAAAAGAGGAAAAGGTTGGACACATATGTTCATTTTAGCCTGAGTCCATATAAGAGACATGATTAGAGTCTGTGAGCTCCTTCCCCTAGCCCCCCTACCTTCCAAGCTGAGAATTTCTGTCACAAGAATATGACAGTACAATTAGAGAGATGAAAGAGACTTTAGAAATTTAGAGCAATGCTCTCCTGACTCTGGAATGCAACCCGCTAGTGGGCCATGGAACAATTATAATTACTACATTTAGCGTCTGTGCACGCCCACCATGACGCATGTAGACATCAGAATAGAGCTTGGCAGAGTCTGTTCTTTTCTTCCACCATGTGGTTCCCAGGAACCGAACTCAGGTTGCCAGCCTTGGCAACAAGCACCTTTACTGGGTGGACCATCTCACTGACCCTGTGACGTAGTTTTAGAAAGTCATTTTTCTAATACAAATGGGCGTTTTTACCCTTCACTGTGCCCTCTATGGACCTTCAGTGTTACCTGGGAGCATGATGGAAGTTCAGAAACTCCTGCCCTATCCATGTTCTCCTAGACCTCAAGATCCCCATGAAGTTAGAATGCACATAAGGTGCTGAGCATGATGGCATATGCCCGTAATCTCAACATTGGGAGGTAAAGGTTGGAAGATAAGGAGTTTAAGGTCATCCTTGGCTACATGTCAAGTTCAGCATCCAAACATGAGAGGTACTAAGGCCAACTACAATAGAAAATAACATGGCACAATTATGTAGTAAAGTAAGTGTTACTTTGCACATGTTTTAGTTTATATATAAGTAATGTAAATACTGATATTCATATAGTATATGTATCTATAGTTAGATATGGTCATGTGTTGCAACCTAAAAATTATTTGTTATTGTATGCTGCATTTGGAGAGCCACGAATGTGGAGGCACCGGCTCCTTTGGCTTTCAGTGTGTTCTAGGGCATTCCCTTCCGCCCACTACTACCATGTCAAACTCACATCTGACTGTTGATGAGCTTACATGTCTAGGGCTGAACTAAGTTCAAAGAAGATGGGAATTGTAGATAGAGCGTGGCATGAGTGTTCCCTGGCCTTATGCAGCGGATAGTCATGTGACTACAGACTGTAAGATGGATATAGAAGCAATTCATAAATGGTAGAGGATATTTTGTGTGTAAGAGTGCTTTGCCTGAATGTATGGATATGCACCACATGCAAGCCTGTTACCCACAGAAGCCAACAGAGGACACTGTATCCTCTGGAACTGGGTGGTTTTGCATCTGGGAATTGAACCTGAGTCCTCTGCAAGAACAATGAATGATATTAACCACTGAGCCATCTCCCCAGCCCCTGATAACTTTATTCTTAGTAATTTCGCCATACCTCTTAAAGCCAGTAAAGTAGCTATTCTTTAAGTTTTTACTACATTTGATATGAGATCTGTCATCTTTACAAAACTGTAAGAGTACAGTACAGTATTGGTGACTAAAAGGCAGGTATTCTTAATTATCTCCAGTTAATGGACGAAAAAACAAAGATATCAATAAATTAGACAGCTTGTTAGAAGCCTTTCAGGCAGAAGTAGCCAAGGGGGTATATATTACTATTAGTAAGCATGAACTTGGAGTTGGTTAGAGTGACTGTCATTTCCCTAGTAAGCAAAGACTTTTTGGGGGTTGAGTCTAGCATCATTTTGCTCCAGAAAGAAAAAGCCAGATGATACCAAGTTCTATGAGAAAACCATTTTCTTCTACTATAGTCTGCTGACTCTTTCTGTGCCTTAGGGAAGATACTAGATCCCATGAATTGTTTCCAAATGACTTCCAAGGAATGAGTAATTATACTTCAGTTACGGTGTGGTCTTATAATGCTGCAACCTCTATGCCATAAAGGTGAGGCATTGAGGGTAAAATCAAGGTATTATTAATGGAGAATCTGGGTACAGGAGTGGGCTCCCCCCTGATTGTAGAAGGACTATGGATTCCAAATGAAGAGTCTAGAATTTCAAGCTCACTTTCCAACACAGATGCCACCGCTAGATCTCTGAGAATTAGGAAAAATACAGTCACCATAGTTAGTGTCCTCAGTGACATTCTGAATTGTGTAGCCAGTAATTAATTCAGAGGTTAAACATTAAAGCAAGTTAGCCCTTAGGCTTTGACTACAAGGAAGGTTTCTGAATGAACGTGCTTCCCTAGGTTGAAACTAGACAGGGTGATCATCAGGGCCTCTTAGGAAATACTTAACTCTGCCCATGAATAGCAAACGGTGCTCTTATCAAGGCAGGACTTGCTAGGTGAGTAATTAGCTGGCATTCATATTTATGGACATGACAGGCATGTGTCTGTGCAGCCATATGTACATACTTATACAAACGTGTATGTTGAAAATATGTGAATATGTGAAAAATATGTGTTCATATTTCCTAGTTCATTTTTTCTTTTTTAACTAAAGGCACCACACACACTAGGTAAGTGCTCTACCACTGAGTTATAGACCCGGTCTCGTGTGTGTGTGTGTGTGTGTGTGTGTGTGTGTGTGTGTGTGTGTGTGTAATTTTATTAAACCCGTGGAGGCTTAGCACTTGTCTGAAAAAGCAGCTCGGGGGAGGAAATGCAGACTGCAGCAGGAAGGTGGTAGGTCGGAGGACAACTGGACCTGTGTAGTAGGTTTCATACCAGCTTGGCCTACGGAGTGAGACCCGGTCTCAAAACCACATATGCCATGCCTAAAATAGGAGCTGACTTGAGCTTTGAATACAGCTCAGTAGAATACTTGCCTGGGATGACTGACAACTTAAGACTGATGGTCAACACCACCAAACTAGGCATGGTGGCACATGCCTATCCTCTAAACACTTAGGAGGTAGAAGCAGAAGAGTCAAAAGTTCAAACACATCCTTGGATACACAGTGATTTTTGAGGCCAGCCTGAGATAGATAAGATCCTTACTCAAGATGAAGAGATGCTGGAGGAATGACTCAGTGGTGAGTAGTTGAGACTCTTGTAAAGGACCTGGGTTCAGTTCCCAATACTCATGTGGTGGTTCACAGCCATCCATAACTCCAGTTCCAGGGGATTCAATGTCTTTTTCTCACCTCCGTGGTCACCAAGCACAGAAGTGGTGCACAAACATACACACAGGCAAAACATTCGTACATAAAATCAAATGAACAGAACTGGGCACGGTGGCACACGCCTGTAACTGCAGCACTCTGGGAGGCAGAGGCAGGCGGATCTCTGTGAGTTCAAGGCCAGCTTGGTGCACAAAGCAAATCCAGGGCAGCCAGGGCTACACAGAGAAACCCGTAAAGAAAGAAGAGGAGGAGGCAGTCTGTGTGCAGTTGGCTTAGCTCTGGAGTAAGAGAATGAGCCCCATCGTGGAAAATATACAGCCTGGCTTTTGAACCTAGTTCTGTCTACTCAGTCACCATCTTTAACTTTCCCACCTACAGATCTGTTACTTTATGAAGTTAGCATCTCATTTTCTTTCTGAGTGCTCCTGACCAGCAAGCCTCTGAGTACCTA